AGAGAATGCAAATTTGAAATGAAATAAGAAAACTTTATATTGTAGAGATGAAAAATCAATAAAGGTATGCAAAGACAATGAATAAATAAGCGAAACAAGCACGAAAATGCATAAATTGATCCAGGCTGTCATAAATTTACAGATTTAATAAAAAAGACCTACTTGAAGTTAATAAAGGCGGCGCGCTCGCCGGCATAAGTGCCCATCCTAACAGACAGTTCGCCAAATCTATCAAAATCATTAAAAATATACTCCTGAATAGCCGAATCATCTAATTTTGATGAAAATCTTCTGATAAGAAGAGTATTAAAGGGATCTCTTGGGCTCTTCGTTCTTCCGTCCGGAAATTCTTCCCTATAATCGGGAGAAGCCCTTTCCCTTGAATATCGATCGACTCTGTATCGATTTCCTTTCGCGATCTCCGATTCACTCTCCGTATATGAAGATTTTTCTCTGATAACTGAGTATCTGGGTGAAGGATTTCTGTTATGCCGACGCATTAGACGCAGGAATATGCATAGAGCGGTAATACGGCTGAACAAAACAAACGATTAAAAAGGATTAAGACTACCTAAGTTTTTAATATATATTAAATATTATTTAAATAAAATTAACTATGAAAAATAAAATTAAAAATGTGAAGATAATAGGAAAGTTATTTTACTGCCATCTATGTAGATTAACTGGCATAGAGATCATGATATATATGCAACAGTCTCTATGACTGGGCTACGAAGATGCAAGGGTATCTATAGGCCTAAAATACTAGAAATTTCAGAAGATAAAAATTGACTCAGCATGTTAATACTAAAATATATTAAATATCTTTTATTAAGGCCTACTTTTAGATTCAGAAGATGAAACAGGAGACCTTCATAATGTCTATGAAAAGCTTTAATAAAACATACATATTATTATTTTAGGTTTTTTGCTAAAATAACTAAGAAAAGAGAAAATTACAGACTGTATATAACAGTTTAGAGGTTATAAAACCAAAATCTCTGATTATATTCGAAAGGTGAGAAATTTGCATAGTAAACTTGAAATTAGCAAAATCTGTGATAAGTTATTTATTAGTCATGCGTTTTTAATATAGTGAATCGTTTTTGTCAATCAAGTCCAATAAATCGCTGATTATGCTCGCCAATCATCAAGTTCACTAGATATTTTAGGTCACTATTATTTGTGAAATATATAGAGAAGGACAATGAATCGAGTATCACAGTTCAGCATATTCATTGCATTCCACATATTCAAGTACTTTCTCAACTAATCAATGGATTTATTTTATTATCCATTTAAGTGATCATAAAAATATTAGGTATTTGCTTACCGGAAACTTTTTCAAAAGGAATATTATCCATACTTTACTCTACCCTCTATAGTAAAGACCGTGTTTATTTGAAGCTACAAGAAACGCACTTAAGAAATCCACTTATCTTCTTTCACTAAGCAAACAGGATAAATTAGAGGACCTTAGACTCTATTCTAAAATAGCTAAATCTAAAGCGTTTATTTAATAAAAAAAAGAAAATTTCCAGGTTGCTTAGAGTTATAATAATGGTTACACTAGAACTAAGAATACAAGGGCCTGCAATAAAATTCTAGAAACCTGACAAGGGTGTTGCAAGTAACAAAATTAATAAGACAGTATCTGGCAGATTTAATTGTTGTGAGAAATAAGTTAAATATTGCGGATACTTTTATTTCGTATGCAAGCACATGACGAAGAGTTGCGTTAGTTACTATCGCCTTAAAACGAAGGACGATTCTTTTGAATTTAATACTACATTTAGGTAGACAAAGTAAACTGGTGATACCGAAATAAGCTTTATTTTATCGAAAGTATGAAGATCAAGATGTTGTGGATGGTCTTTCTATCTATAATACCAAGTTTATGACTTCATATGCCCTAGTCTCTTGTATGCCAGCCCAAAAACGTTATAGTTCAACATTGAACTTAATCAAAGCAAGCAGTACCACAACATTTGTGGGTTAGCACACAAGAGACTGTGGCATAGGACATCATAGACTTGGTATTAGGGATAGAAACAGGATAGATGCGGCGGAGACTGGAGCTAGTTGGCTGACAGTAGATTTTAGAAGAGACGTGGTACATGTAGCAAAGGCATGACCATGAGACTTACTAGGAGGCTTGAGCCCCGAATTAGTCAGTCAGACGCAGGGAAGAGAGAATAACGCCTCGAGTAGCGCAGATGGGGTGGCAGGGGTCAAGTGAAATACGGGAACCAGGGAAAGAGCAAACTGATCTTACGGGGCAAGATAGAGACTGTGATAATACTTATGGAAGGAGGACTGCGTTGCAATATGGCAGACTATGATCAATATTCCTAGTACAAGAGTGAAGGGAGTGACAATGACAGCATGGAATGTGAAGGATTTTCAGGAGTGCTGCTCACACTACATCGAAATAAGCACAGCAAAAATTGTAACAGTGAAGGCGTGATAGGAGAATATAGGAAATGGGAATAGGTCAGCGCAGAAAAAGAGATACCACAACTGTTTAGCACACGTTTGGTCAAAGGATCAGCCTCACTTTTCTCTTTGATGAGCCGTTGTGTGGTGCTAAGAATGACAAGATTCACTGACGATGCTGGTAAAATGTCTGGTAATGTACCACGTCCACGGTCCGACTTTGGAAATGATTATGTATACAATGGACTTTGGACTAGGCGCGTTCATCTAAGTCTTCTAATCAATATGACCAAGTTGCGAAAACAAGGTCAAACAACTTCTAAGCTTTTTTATGTTCATATGATAGACATACTCAGAGGTAAGCCTTATTCTTGAAATAATTATCAAGTTAACACTAAGAGATTTATCTATAAAATCCCTTTAACTCCTTTCTTCAAAATCAGTTATAGCACTAGTTGTACACAATGCATATATTAAAAATTTGCATATGGAAATTATTTGTGGTGAACTATCATATTTTAATCAGCCTTATCCATCTCTATTTAAATATACGAATAAATTGTGTAAGGTGACGGTGAGGACCAGAGATCACTACCCTCTCTTTTCTTTGTTCCTCTAGCCCAAATATGCTTGCTATTCTTTCTTTATAGCATATATTCATACAGAATAAGATCTAATGGATATTTGGGAAAACACTTGATCCGAACGATGCTATTGGAGGCATAATTATTTTTCTGTATGTATTATTGGTGCAAGATACGATTGTAGATTTGACAGGATATTTATTATTCGAAAGACGATTCCATCTTCTCACGGAAAAAAGGTAACTCAATTTGAATGAATTAATAAGAAAAAACTATTGTATATTGAATTTAAGCTCTATAGAAGATATACCAATATGCTTAACTGCTTACGAATAAATTGAAGGCCGGGATTAACCACTTATTATCTTAACTTTAAATGCACAAGCATAAGGAAAAAGTAAATAAATCATTCTTTAGAAGTAATGCGCGATGATGACAGTGCAAAGAGGGCGATAATCCTCAGCCCAAGAAAAAGATTTTGTGTTAACCCGCTCGGAAGTAGCTAAATCCCAGTCGAAAGAGTGTTTCGAAGTCCTCGGAGCTTTGAATATTGGGACTCTTCACGGGTGATCCTTAGAGTAAGATTTTGATAATGCAGTACTTTTACCGATATCGAGTCCAAATAGCCGCACAAAAGTATAAGCTGCTCACCGTATGGAAGGAGCTCCCGCTAATTTTAGGGGTGTAAAAATCGGTCTCTAAACTCCGTTGGAACTCAGAATCATCCTTAAGAGGCGGGGCTTATTCGAGTAGACACAAGTCCAAGCGGCAAAGATCTATGTGATTGAAAATCATAGTGTACAATAACGCCGATGTATGGAGTCGGATTTTTGTCATTTGTATAAGATATGTGTATAAACTAGAAGAAATATGATTGAAAAGTGGTAGTACATTCAGTATTAAGTCTCATTATTAGGAATAATTAGGAAGATCGGCTAAAAAGTTCAGAGTGTTAAGATAAGTTGATGACGTGCAATGGAGTTAATGCAATATAGTAAGAATAAGTGGCTAATTTATTTAAAAGCAAATTTTTTTAGCTTATTTCTTTCTATTGTTAGGGGGACTTTCATTTCGTATGAAAGTGAATGAAGAAGAGATATTATTCTTAATAAGGCCTAAAGGATAATTATATTCCAGGAATATATTTGTCAGCAGTTGCAACTATTTAGTCAAATGTTTGCTATCCGCTATCCTCTTACTTCTAAGAATCATTGACATCAAAATTCCACCTTAGTTTTGTAACTATGCTTGGAAAGAAAATTAAGCAAAGAGCCAACATATGTTGGATTCGTATAAACATCTCTTAGTAACTTACCCTTTTATCTAATGATGAGAACATCCCTAAGAGGTAAAGACTTATTTTCTTCCATTCACATCGTCAACTTAATGTTCCTTTCACGTGTTGATTGAGTGACAGTAATAAAACTATCAAATTTGTCCTTACCATGAGGTCAGATAAGGATAAACTTTTAGACGAAGACAATTTAGTCAAAAAAAGACAGACTGAGACCTTTTCCCATGTCCTAATTTTGTTGTCATGTATTCTCTAAAAAAAGATATGCGAATTAGTAAACAAGTGGGGAATGCAAACAGTGCTCAAAGAAACCCTCACACTTTCTTCTGTTATGCCATTTTTAAGAGAAAAATATGACCGAGCATCGAGATCCGGTGACTACAAGGTTGTTTGTTCATGTGGTTGATGTTATGTTGGTGAGAAATACCGACCTATTTGACAAAGATTAGGATAACACAAAAATGTTTGCAAAGGAAGCTGGATCCAATGGTCAGAAGTAGCCGAATATATGGTAGAAACTAGACATGAAATATAATAGTCTCAAAACTAGTAGGTTTGTTGATTATGGTACGTCTGTGGTTAAAATAAAGATAAGAGAGGCTATTAAAAATAATAGCTTAGGAAATACGTTGAATGTGAGGAATGGTGATAGAAAATAGAGTAGGAACTACTTATGCTTGATTGATAGATTAAAAGTGAGAGAGGGTGTTGAGCAGCCATCAAAAAGAAGGCGACGCAATTTGTCTGCTCGGTGATGGTTCTGATTTCACTCACATTCGTCCAACATGTTAGAGTAAGCCCATCAACCAAGCCAGACAAATTAGATTACGCAACCCCAGTCTTGCCTTTTTATGGGGTGTTAAATGTTAATTATCATAGACTGAAAGTTTAGGATAAGTGGTTTAGCAACTTGATTTTCATGCTTACAAGCTCATATCTCATTATCTCAACCATACTTGTTTGGTTGATCAAGGCTTTCTCTTAGGTCATTAGGCCTTAAGAATCAGGACCTGTGAGTAAACCTTTGACAACTTTGATTTAGGGAACCGTATTGCATATAAACGCTAACACGCACACATACACATACACATGCGCTCGAGCAAAAGTAACAGGACAAGTATGAAAGATAATTAACCAAACCACTCTATATTGATCTATCTAGGATTTTAATTTGCCTATGGCCTTATTGAGTCTATATAAGAAGTAAGATAGAGCCAGATAGTGTTCTTGACCTAGTGTTAATGTGAGACTTTTACAAGAATGACACTACCGTATAAAAACAGAATCTTGTAACAGCCTGATCTAGAGAAAGGGTCAGGATATTCTCAAAATGAAGACAATACCGAGTAAAATGTTACTCTTTACAAATAATCTTTATGCCCCATCTTAGTAATTCGCCTATATTATTTGATGGCAACATAAGGACACTGCTGGAGCGATATAACCCTGTATCTAGCCCAGAATATGTACTTTCCTCCATCCTGATTGACAATAATCTAAGATAATTGCCATTCAGCATACTTGGATAAATATTTTTTCCTAGAATTTTTCTTGGACTTCTCATTTCCTGGTACCGATGCTTACTATCTTCCTGGCGATGAATCCTTATTATCATAGACTTCATAGCGCGTACTTTAATCGTATAAGTGTGATTGTATGATAAATTTAAAAGAAAACCCTGTAATTATGGGGTTTCTATACACATCTCTACCTAATCAGGTCCCCTCTTTGCTAGCTAGGAATTAAAAAAAAGTTAAATTACCTTTCTTTTTTAACTTCATAGTCAATTTCTTCCTCTCATCGCTCTTGTTTAGCAAACCAAGAAAATTCTCTGTGTTTTCTTTGTTTTGTTACCAAACAGCAAAGTAATCTTACATTGGGCGAACTAATAATTTACGGACTAAAAGTGCCACCTGAATTAAACATTCCTTAAATTGAGCCGTGGGATTATTTTCTAAAATTGGTTACAAGCACGATCCCATAGCTAAAATCTGTGTTTGTTCGTATAGTTTAACATTAAAGTTAAAATATGTGCTGTGTATCCAAAGGTTGGTCAGTATCCTTATTTATATCTTACTTAACTTCATACTCTATAAAATCTTAGAGTGTTGGTCTAGTGCGGACTGCAGGACCTGTATGGCATCGTCTACAGGAATTTTATTGTACATAAACTCAACATTAAAACTTGCCAGCAAATCCTCACTTGTTAGCTCCTGATTTTCTATCATTTAACGAATTTATAAGAATTTAGCTGTTCGGTAACGCTTCATTTTTAACCACTTCACATATCATCCGCAGCCACTTAATTTAACTCTTTAGAAATATGTTGGCATAGCATAGGGTATCCAACCCAAACATGAGATGCTTAAGTAAGTAGACCAAATTTGACTATAAGAAGTAGGTAAGTTTGAACTTGACCACCTTTTTTGCTTACTTATTATAGTAAAATATCTTTAATCAGGGTTCATTGCTTTGACTATGTATCTAACATGACGAATGAAAGCTCAGCAAGGATCAATTGGGGCCACAGGGCGGTGTGTCGTGGACCTACAGTTAAAAGGCAATCTCCCTACAGCCTTTGGTGATACCAACTTACGAATCCCTTCTATTCACCTCTTTAAACAAAATGAAAGGTACTCCAACACAAATGCTTCCTGATTTTGAGTCCAATATTACTAATTTCTTTATCACGCGTGGATGCAGGTGGTCCTCTGTGATCCACTAAGCCAAGAAACAAAGGTAATTCTGTTACGTAGATATAGTTGACTGATTTTGCTAGTTCGCAAAATGTGTAAAAATAAATGTGTAACGACGTCGTAGAAACAAGGGAGTAAAATTTATATTTACTAAACTTAAAGTCTAAATTGAAGATGTGAAGACCAAGATGTTGTGGCCTCGGGTATGGTCACAGTCTCCTTTCGACTTATAGAAGTGAGTTGACCTCGTTGTCGT